TCATTAGGCCACGCACACACACAAGTATCATCATCTCACGTCACCAACATCGGCGACTCATACTCACTCCTCCACCTCTCGACCTCATTAGGCCACGCACACGCACAAGTATCATCATCTTACGTTACCAACACCGGCGACTCATACTCTCTCCTCTACCTATCGACCTTATTAGGCCACGCATACACACAAGTACCATCATCTCACGTCACCAACAACGACGACTCATACTCTTTCCTCCACCTCTCGACCTCATTAGGCCACACACACACACAAGTGCCATCATCTCACGTCACCAACATCGGCGACTCATACTCTCTCCTCCACCTCTCGACCTCATCAGGCCACGCACTCACAGAAGTACCACCATCTCACGTCACCAACATCGGCGACTCACACTAAACCTCACCAACATGCCCCTACTCTCCCATCCTAAACCACACGCTACCATATACTCTTGCACCATTCTAATCCAAAGTAACTACACTCTCCACCCCCCTCCAACTTACCTCCCCCTACTGTTATGTTACACCTCATCCCTCATCCGAACCTCATCACTCCCCAATTCCTATATCCTAGTCCTTTCCACCGCACAATCCAATACTCTTCTCTCACCCACTGCCCTCACGCTCCACTTCCCCTATCCTTCTGCCTCCTCCCGCTTCCTTTATATTTTTGCCTCCCTATGGCGGTTAGAAACCTCTCGACTCACTCCGTCTCAATCCGTACACTCACCCCTTCCACTGTACGCTCATTGAATACGTCGCCTTCCGCTCGCGACTCCCTCCGCGCCTCCACCCACGCACACACCTATTTCTGTCATCTCAGATTCCCCCCCCCCCCGGGCACTCACTAGATTTCTCACTCACTCTTCCTCCCATTGGTCCTCCCTCTGTGCTACTCGCACAACCTCCATTTTCCCCCACGGTTCCCCGTACGCCCCAAACATCGCCATCCTCTTGCTTCCCCCGGCTTCCTCCGCGAACGTGCGGAATAATCCCACACTCTACCGCCTACTTCCACCTCTCAACTCCGTCACACCACCTACGGACTCCGCAACCTGCAAAAAGTTCAGAACTCACACCACACTAAAGCAACTGAAATTTTCACTGTACCTCCCGTTTCCATCTTCCTTCCTTTTGTCGGTATCGTCGTCCGTCCACGGCCTTCTTCCCTCTCCCTTCTCACTCCCCTCTGCTCTGACTCTCTTCTCTCTCCTTCTAGAACCTTCATTCCCTTATTCTTTTCCTCCTTCCCACTCTCTTCCTTCTCTCCTTTTTTTTTCTTCCCTCTTCTCCCTTTCCCGACCTCTCTTTATACCCTACCCGCTTACTCAAAACGATGCGTTTTGCTCCATCCCAAAACGACGTCATTTTTCCCCTTTCAAAACGACGTCGTTTTTTTCCCTCTTTAAAATGGCGTCGTTTCCTACTTATATTTTTTTTATTATTTTATGTTATTTTTTTTGTTATTATTATTTTTTTTTTGGTTTTAGTCACTACATACAGAGCCTCGATTACACTAAGTCCTTTACCCCAGTCGCCAAGCTAGTCAG